TGTTGAAATTTTGAAATTATTTTTTTGCGAATATGACTTGCATCATTGGTAAGCATAGAAAAACTATATATAGATCAATTAAACGGTTACCTTGCTTTTTCCTATCCATCCGAAGTTATACAAGATTTAAAATGCCAAAAATTTGTATTTTGTGCAAATTTTGCGCTATTTTTCCAACTTTGAGCTAGAATAACGACAAACGGGCTACTAAATTGAATATAACGGTTTAATTGACCTTTATATAGTTTTGTTTAAGCTTTCCAATCATGCAGGTTACATTTGCCTAAAAATGATTTCAAAATTTGAACTTTCTCTCCAAAATGGTTTTCTATAGGTAGAAGTAAGAAAAACTCGATTTTCGCCATGTTACACGGAAGGGATTTTTTTTATTTTTAGTATGTTAATAAGGACACATTCCCCCACATTTTACCACTGAAAAAAATTCTATTGCAATTTCTTTGACCTCTGGTAACAGATTGACTGGACTTTAATGAACCCTAAATTAATTAAAATGTATATAGCCCCATGCACCAAGACATATATCTACATGATTCAATTCTAATCTTAGTTTCAAGCGAATGTCTGCCTAGTGCACGATTATGAATAAAATAAATTTTAAACACAAACAACAAGAGGTAGAACGTTTGCTTGCATTGAATATTACACAATCCAAAACTTTCATATTTGTATTGTTTTTCAACACCCCCAGGACACTTCCCCCGCCTTTATAGGACAAGGTAAACTGATCAAAATGATTTATTTTCCTGATCGTTTTACAGTATGAACATGCTAGTTGAAAAATGCTTTTTGACACCCAAAATGAAGTGTTCTTGAGTGAATTATTTCATAATTTCCAAAACGCGTATTCTTCCGAAACTGGGTTCCTAACCCGACACCTTCGAAATACCAGCTAGACGCTCTAACAGACTGAGCTACACGGTCAGGTCCGATTGAGGACGGAAATTATTAATTTTCTGCTTGCGTGGCTTGGAAATAAAGAAAGTGATAAACAAAAGGATACAGAAAACGAATGTTACTACATATTTGGAGAAATTTTGGGAAACGATCTCGTATTTGGATGCAGTGAACAAAGACTAATGCACCAGTCAATTTAAACCCTCCCCCAACCGGGGAGGGGGCGGGGATTTAGCGGGGAAAGTGGTCAGTTTTGATGGTAAATATGTCAACATGTCCCCGATGATGGGGGACTTGGACAACGTTTTCTCTTTCGGTAGACGATGCGGGGAAAAAGCGGGGGAATGGATTCTGTGGTTAACATAATTATACCCTGTGTTGCTGTTTTAGTTTTCTTTACAAGAAATATATTGCTGATCTATGAAATATATACAAAATTTCATGGGGTTGAGAGACATGCAGGCACATTGATTAATTACGCTTTCCCCTGGGGCGGGGACAATTTCGTTCTTTTACTACCCCTCTAAGTCAAAATCCCCACCACTCCCCGGTTGGGGGGGGCGGGGGTTTACATTGACTGGTGCATAAGTACAGGCAATTAATTAAGAGGCAGTCCGTGTAAAAACCGACCACTCGAATTTCTTAAGATTACAGATTTCCTTCAAACTTTCTGTGCGGAAGAAGTCATTCATAAAATGAACAAAAAACATTGACTTTGAAATTGTAGTCAGTTTTCAAAATTTTTTCGCAATTATTTTCGGACGCGTTCGAAAACAAGTTAAAACGCTAATTACGCAAGTGATATTTGAGCTTTTTATATCTCACAGTTCATCTCGCGCTTTTATTCTAACTTCTTGAAACTTACATATTTTATTATTTCCTGCCTAGGCATAAACCTAAACTAAAAATGATCCTGATCATTTGAAGCAAACAAAATATTGTGTATTTTTAAAAACGTCTTTCAGACAGCGGATTAAATATTCGTGTTAGTACACTCTAAAAACAGGTGTGTTCAATTACACACCAAGGTGTGTTTAATTACACACCAAGGTGTGTTTAATTACACACCAAGGTGTGTACATTTTACACACCTTCCTATACAATTTTAGAAAACACACCTTTGTGTGTTAGAAAACACACCATGATGTGTTAGAAAACACACCATGGTGTGTAACAAAACACACCTACAATCACTTTCAGAAGTTGTTGGGACACATGTAGTTTTAGCTTGTAAGTGGATCATTATAGTTTTTACACACAATACCGCTCCCCTCCCCCTCCCCCCACCCCAATCAATGTTGTTTAAACCAAAACACATCAAACCCGACGAGAAATGGGACACAACATTGAACAGGGGGCGGGGGGATTGTCGTTTGTTGAAATTCAAAGGTTTTGTGGCATCTGTCCCAAGACTTTTGAAACTGATTGTCTGAAAGGCAATGAAAAGCATATTTAACCTCTTTGAATTACCGAGTGTTTTAGAATATTAGTTTTGCGAAAATCGTATAGCATTTAGTATGACATATTTACTGAATTGCACTGGCATATATATAATGCTTTTATACTGTGCTTGTTGTGGTCAATATATTTGAAATGTAACATAATCCAACAGACTGAGCAGTATATTATAAATGAGCTTATAAACAGATGTGATATGTGGGGAGGGACGTATGCTGAGAGATTAAACCTGCTCTATATGCAAGGGATAAAATACATCTATCTGGTTAATTATCGACCTAGGTTATTGCTGAATAAAATGCAAGGGTAAGTTATCGAAAACCACTTAAAGATTGTGCATATTTGACATGAAAATATGTATGTAATATAAAACGGTTTGAACACGTGCTCGATTGTCACTCGGTTGTCACTTTGAAACACATAGCATTTTCATTGATATAACTTTCAATTGTCGCGGGATAATAATTTTCAGAATATTAAGTACTAAGCAAAAGTGTTTAGGTAGCACGTATTTATATATTACGGGTTCTACTTAATCACAAAGTATATAAATTGTATAAAATGTATCGATTGACACTCAACTCTAGAAATATCACCATGATATATCAGATTTATTTATGTAAAAAAGTGTCAATCGATCCAAAACTTGGCTTAATCAATTTCAAACCCTTTCATTAATAGCAAATACATTGTTAGACATTCTCAACAAATTATTCTTAGCCTTGTTCTGATTTAAAAGCTGCCTAGTTGCCCATTATTTCATATTTCTATAGTGACAATCGAAGTGACAACCGATGTTAGTTTCATTGCATTCGTCTGGACCGGAAACGCTTATTAGCATAATTAGCGTATAACACTAACTTTGTGTTGTATAATGCGTACAACGCCGTATACAGCGAGTCCCTTTCTTTACATATTTTTGGAAGTCTGTGCAACTCTCTTGCCTCGGCGGGTTGCGCGCGCTAGTACTTGCTAACGCGTCAGCATTAGGGAGGTCTATAAGCCCTGGAGAAATCACGAAGTCCGGGTCATTCTTTACCACGTACGAATACGCTGAATAGTAATTTTTGGGATTGTCTGACTGAGTTCAATTAAATGCCGAATTTACTCTTCTCGAGCTTTCCGATAGCTCGCCAACTTGATCTTGCGGACATTTTTTTAGCCATGTGGAAGTGACTATATATACTATATGATACCGCCCTTTCCATTAGCCTTCGAAATTCCCACCCACTGAGTGCTCCTTCGTACCCATGCGTCGACAATTATATCTGCAAATTCTGCTCTAGAAAGATGTGAAATGTCACATTCACTATTGGTGATAAAAATCAAACGTTCTTTACCTTCGGAGTACTCGAATTAGCAGTTGACTCAGCCCTTACCCGCATGCGAAAGTAACCGGATGTTATATTATTATGCTATAAATTAACAGTATGTGTGACATATCTAGCGTAAAACATTTGCGATACCTATCTTTATTGACGGACTATAACCTCTCAAATAACCTACTAGTGCTCTGCCAAAATTTGTAGAAACAAACAACGTATAAAGCCTTTGTGATTAAGAACGCAATATGACATAACAAATTATATTCATATTCTGTTAATTATTAACTTTGAGAATTTTAATGAAACTTAATTGTTCTGCAATGTCATTAGATGTTCTGTGAACGAAATGGAGCTGAAATACTTCGTTCGCAGAGCATTCTACTCTCTGTACTTTTGAGATGTACAATGATGTTATGGCATATGGGGCCCAGACAATCACTTTCAGAAGTTGTTGGGACACATGTAGTTTTAGCTTGTAAGTGGATCATTATAGTTTTTTACACACAATACCGCTCCCCTCCCCTCCCCCTCCCCCCACCCCAATCAATGTTGTTTAAACCAAAACACATCAAACCCGACGAGAAATGGGACACAACATTGAACAGGGGGCGGGGGGATTGTCGTTTGTTGAAATTCAAAGGTTTTGTGGCATCTGTCCCAAGACTTTTGAAACTGATTGTAGGTGTGCTAAGAAACACACCTGTATTTTACACACCTTTTCGTACACACCTTTGATGCATATAAGGTGTGTTCAATAACACACCTTTTGAATGAAAACACACCTTGGTGTGTTTGAGAACACACCTCATACTAATTTACAAAAACACATCTTGGTGTGTTAGATAACACACCCTACACCGATTTTGGAAAACACGCGTGCACGGTGTGTACTGAAAAATGCTTTTTAGTAACATACAATAAATCCAATCATCAATCACGGTAATGTATGCTATAATATGTTTTTCGGATATATACAGTAGATGTAAATGGCGATATTGACTTTGCCGGCGATATCAAGTTTTACGTGTCTAATAACCGTTTGATATTTGTTGTGTAGTATTTTATTCCTTCCATGTAGTAAGAGCATTACTGGGACTACTTATTTTCTAAGAGATTAATCTGTCTTTAGCACACCATTAATCTGAAATATGGTAACTGGTCTTTTGAAGCTCTTCGGATCGAAAGAAACGAAAATTCTTACGATGAGCGCGATTTTACAGACTGGTGCCTAGTTTTCGTACTACGCGCGCAAAGCTTCCCGGGATAGCGTCATTTATTCACACCCACTGAGCTGTATAATAACTGGAGGACCTGCTCCTATACTTCGTTCAGTCAACGAAGTGTCCGCAAAAACATGGCGGATTTTGAGTGAAAATGACGCCATTTCCATGACTACTGGTCCCTAAATTCATGGTAATTGCCACTGAACAAGGCTCAAATATGAGCCCGCCACAGTTTTCACCCCCCCTGGTTTTTATAAAAATATTTCGACTTTTTGCAGTGAATACTTGTTGTTTTGATATTTTCGACATATTTTTTTCGACTGTTGACCATTTGTTCAAAGGTGTGGAAGCCGTACACGTTCATTGTCGTCCGTGGAGCGTGAAAGACAACAAACAACTATTAAAACCTCGCGAAAGCCGAAATGTGGACAAAAACGATACTTCAAGCCAGAGCAAACATCCGTAATTATCAGACTATAAACAGGTATCTATAAATATTTCAAAATTCACATTACTATTTTAAATATTTCATGAAAAAATGTTAGGAATAAATGGTAGAATGTACTCTATTTTTTAGAAAACAAGCCACGAGTATTTATGTGGTTGTAGACGAACCTTTTTATAACTTTAAAATATAATAATTTCATCCCTCAATCCCAAGGAATTAATGGTTGTGCATGTATATGAATTTGACAAATATTTGACATGAAACTATGATGTGCTAGTATATTAAAGAGGGAAGTAAGGTTTTATATATAGATTTAGCCAAGGTCGGGTTTTGTCATGCATAAGCTTGTGGTGAACTGGTGCAGGACAAAGCTCAGGCTGCTCAGCTGATTTGAGAAATTAATGCATGTTTTGCCCAAGTTTGTATATTGTGTGCTCTCTGATAGTTTGTTGTATGTATCTTTAAAAGGCCATCCATTAACTTGTTTGTCCCATCTCTTATGAGTATTGGGTTAATTGATTCAAGTGCTAGCATATTTTTGGTAAGGGTTGTTATAATGCGACAGCTAGGCCAGTAAGCAAGACCTCACTGTGTGGTTATTTTTATAGTGGAAATTCCTTTCAAATTGTATGGACAACCTGACTGGCTCAGTTTTCAGATCTCACCTGAACAAGGCAAGCTCTCAGTTACACCAGGAAGGCGGGAACACTAACTGGACTGACTTGTTCAAAATAAAGTCAAAACAACATCGGTCATGAAAATATTGTCAAAACAATAGGCCAACCTGGCTTCCATATTCATAGCCCCTATGGCACTATAATCTATTCTGAGCCTCCTCCACAGGCATGGGCGTACCGGGCAGGGGGCGAGGGTGGAAGCAGCCCCCCAGTTTGTTGAACAAACAAAGCCAGTCGGGCAATATTCGCTTCACAGTCGGGCAATATTGGGACAAATTCTGTGAAAATTATTTTGTGGGAAATATGCTATTTAGTAGGAAATTTTCGTAATCACTCCCCCCCGCCCCCAATCGACAACACTTTTGGAAAGTTTGGAACTCGGGCACAATCCGAAAAAGTCGGGCAAATTTCTTTCCGCCCCCCTAATTTTTCCCTTCCCGTATGCCCATTTTCCCCTTCCTGTTTGCGTTTTAGCCTGCAAATGGGTTCCCATCACTCGATTCCTCGGGTGAGATACCTGTGGAGGAGGCTAGAGTTCATGCCCCTGTTGTTAGTGAAACTCCATACCAAGAAACATGTATTGCAGTAATGTTTCAAAATTAATTAAAGACAAAAATTTGCTTGATTTTGTGTATTATTTATTTTAATTAAAATTGCTAATTTCATAATTATTCTTTGACCATGCAGTGAATAATTTTAAAATATATAATACAGTATTATTAAAACTAGAGCTCATGCATCATTTTTTGGCTGTTTGTACAGAGTAAATATAACACATTCCCACAAAATTATAGAGAAAAGTCATTGTTAGTTCTGCCAGTTAGGTCTGGCAAGAGGTAGTGCACCACTACTCTTTTTTTTCACATTTGAAAGAACTTGTATTAATTTCTTGTCCACATGACTTACATCAGTTTCGCCCTGAATGAGAAATGTCCATTATACATATAAAATAGTGACAGTATCATATGAAGACACTGAAGATGTATTGGGTCACAGATCCCAGACTCCGATTACAGGGAAATTTACTGTAGAGCAGAGCCTAAACTGTTCACTTAGACATTATTGATATGTTAATGCATGGCTCTCCAGTCCACAACTGTCTGGTGTTAGACAGAGTAAAATAATAAAGTAGGGTGCATTAGGGCACAATGCAACCTAATGGTTAATTAATATCATGGTATGTCAAATAAATTGACTCACTCAGTAATTTTACATATATAAGTTCTGGCATTTATAAGCCCGTCTAATATGCCAGGAAATTTTACTTGTCAAGATGACAATTGTCCATTATAAATGGATTAATTGTATTTCTTAACTATCCCAAAGTTTCATTTTACATTAGAATATATCAAAATAATCTAATGTATGCAGGTCTAAGAGAGAAAGTTCATAAATAATGTCTAACTGAACAGTTGGGCTCTACTCCAATACTGGGAACAGTAACACTCCCACTGAAGATGCTCTCAAACATGTTATCAATCATCAATTTAATTGGTTAATTGTCAGGGCACAATTTCGGTCAATGCCAAGGGCAGTGATTGAGAGAATATGCATTGGCTGGCACGTACACACCCTTCATTCCTACAAATACTTAACTACAACTCTAATGGCTGTGGGATTTATAGAACTCTGACAAACTATGTTGGTCAGATGAATGTACCATGTAAACCTCTGAATGCTTGTATGCATTCATCAGCATTTTTGATGGCTGAGCTGTTGGAATGGATCCCTTTACTGCATTAAAAAATACCTGTCCAAAAATAAGTCCATTGGCTAACACAGACTGAGGGACTTAAATTCGGGAGAGGGCTTAATTATATTCAGAATTTCTTATGGTGGCCGTTCTACACAGGAGGGCTTATATTTGGGGTCTGTCATTGGGGCTTATATATTCAGAGGTTTATGGTTATTGCTTGATTGCAATGGGTATTGAATCATTTGAATGGTTTGAACTTGATACATTATCTTTGGCCTAGCAAAGCAATTTTTCAGTTTGCCTGTTGTAGAAGTGACATTTAATATAACTACACAGTATGAAATTATAAATAACTGCTACAAGAACCTGGCAAGGATATATATCACTCAAAGTTTGTCAGGGAAAATTTGCTTTAATATACCGTATCTCTATAACACTGAAGTCTGTAGTACTAAATCAATATATAAGTGCTCAGTAAGGATTTTAACACCACAAGCAGCCTTTAAAACCATATGAAAACACAGAGGCTAGTGGTAAATCACAAGAACAATAAAATTACAGAATTCCCAACCATTTTTCCTACAGGGATTTGTATTTCTATCGAGTTTAATCAAGCAAGCTAGAATCTAGAAATATTCATATATAAAAATCCGTAAAAATCTTACCGGTGAATAAAAATATTCTTCTAGTTCTTGTTTGAAGAGTTCTCATACATACGAGCGGCGCAAAAAGGCAGTGTCCGTTGTAAATCAAGCAAACTGGGATAAAAATATCAAGATTTTCAATGAGATTTTTAATACCTCGAAAACAAAATTTTTGGGCTGAAACCAGGGGGGTGAAGTACATTGTCGAAAGCTTAGGATCGCGGTTGGGGCAGTGGTAGTTGCCATGAATCTAGGGACCAGTAGTCATGGCAATGGCGTCAGATCCGCCATGTTTTTGCGGACACTTTCTTATCCCGAGCAGGTCCTCCAGTAATATAGTATAGCTCAGTGGGTTACCCCCCATCTGAATAGATGGCGGCCATGTTGGTCATTCCCACTTCCTAATAAACGCTTAAAAACAACAATAACTTTCATCATTAAAACTAATTTGGAATAGGGTTAACTTAATGTTAAAGTTCCCTGTTTAAGAAATAGAAAACATATGAATCTTCTAATTTCATGGGAACGACCTGAGACTGCAATCACAGCTTCAATTTTTGAATTGCAGACAAATTAGATGCACTATCTAGTATATATAAGATATCTATGGCTGCATGGTATATACAAGGGGTAGTTCTGGAAATTTCCATGTTTTGTTGTTTTAGGAAGTTGCTCAGGCAACCGTAACATCTCTTCTTCCAATCAAACTTCCCGTCAGTTCATCACTCGTGAGTAACTATGTACTAGTTGCCGATAGCAACAAGAATTTACATGTTTTACAAAACGGAACTGTTGTCCGCTCCTTGGAGATGTCGTCAATTGTCAACACAATGTGTGCGGGGTATTTTCTTGAGGGCCTGGATTCTAGTACCCCAGTATCACCACACTCTACTGTAACAACCCAAACAGGTTTGCCACACCAAGTTGCGTTAGGAATGGAAGATGGTAGGATTTTCATTTTAAATAATTTTAATTTAACATTATACACCAACATTAAGTTGACTATTACAAAGATGGCCGCCTGTTCCCTGGGCAAAACTATGGACACTTTATTGTGTTGTGGATACTTTAATTCAATGTTGATCTACCATAACGGCGTGCTGATGCGTAAAGTTGCAACGAATGACTGGGTGAATTCTATCGAAGTTATGCCGAGTAAGGGTAAACATGAACACTGTGTATATTTAGGGACATTGGATGGTATTATCCAATCCTATGGTCTTAGTATGTTATCAAAGTGATAAGTTACACAGTTTTAATAAATGAGTCAATGTATATTTCTACTGCCAATTTTTAGAAAAGATCCCCTTCAACTTGGGAAAAATCCTAAAAGTTGAAGTTCATGATACAGTATGTACTGAGAAAGAGTCTAAGCTGAAGCTGTACACCAATTTACAGTAATTTAACTACCTCCTCTGCAGGCGCTTAGGGAGCATTTTGGGCAGTTTCAGAAAATACCTTTGTCTTTCACTTACATTTCTAAATATCACCGCCCGCAAATTTTCCCGCAGAAAGAAAATTTTGTAAAATGTGATTGGCCGGCACAAATTTTCCGTTGGAAAAAAATTTTGAAGTTGAAAATTTTCAACTTTTAACAATGACATTTTTGGAAAATTTTCTGTCCGTGGAAACTTTTCTTTGGTGGAAATGGGCCTTTACATATGCGAACTTTCAGAACGTGACTCACTTGATATCGGTACAGTATTTGTTAATTGTGATATTTGGAACATCAATAACTTACAATGATTTACGATGCAAATTTATTATTGAAATGAAAAGTTAATGCTGAAATGTTAAAAAAGCAAATTAAATGTAACATGACATGTGTCTGGGTAATAAAATGCATTCATTTATGATTTAAATGTTAAACCCAAAATAAATTTCGTATGAAGCGTGGTATACAGACAAGATTGTTATCCGGTTAAAAATCATAAAAAACAAACTGTTTTATCATTAGATTTGTCCAAACTGTAGGAGGAAATCTAACCTTGATCTTGATGTGAAGAAGAAAGCTTGGGATTGATAGGGGGGGATACAACTACCGGAAAAATACAACAAGAGGTTGTCCTTTCTTCTTTTGAAGTTCTCCTTGTATTTTTCAGGTAAAGTTGTATCCAATCCGAAGCTTTCTTATTCTTGCCTTATTGCCATACCTACACTGTCATATCCCGTTCTAGATAATAAAAAAAGAAAACAGTTTGCTAAAATCTTAAGCCCATATCATTTTTTTATTAGAGTGTTTCTTCAGACATGTTATTTGGACACTTAAAATTTAGACTACACAACTTTTGCCTAGAATTGTCGCATGCAACCTGCTTACAATTTCAGTTGTACTGTGTAAATCAAGCATACAACTCATCTAAGTTGTTGTAGATGAGTTGTGTGTTTGATTTACACAGTACAACTCAAGTTGTAAGCAGGTTGCATGCGACAGTTTTAGGCAAAAGTTGTGTAGTCTAAATCAACATTTACATCGTGCGTTACTTGAAAAATAGTTGTCTTTGATACAATATTCAATAACAAGATCTGTTTGTATTTCACTAGCGTATGTCAAGATTCTTAAATGAAAAATTGACGTTGTATTCTTATTGTTATTAAACGAATTTAATTTAAAGACAATTGCGAAGCGTGTCCAGCGTCTGTTGCTTAATAAAGCTAATCAAGGAAATTGATTGAGCTAGCGCAGTTTGGTGAAGCCATTTCAAAATGCGACTTCAAAACAGCGTATTTTGAATGTTGCGATCAACGCGTGTGTTGAGTTTTATTCAAAAATCACACTCGTTCATTCAGTTTTGTTTTTGTGTATTGTAGAATTTGCTGCATTAAAAATTAACTGCCCTAAACCTTATCCAGTTAACCGCGATATGTTGATATTACATCTCAGCCAATAACCAGAGAGAATTGCGTATAAGTACGCCTGATTTTATGCAGAGCCGATGGTTTGCCATGATTAATCCATGAATTGATAGTTTTTGACGAATCAGTTTGACATGCGTTGCCAAATGCTTCATCAATATTGCATTAAAGTCGGGCAGTTTTTGTCAAAGATTTCCGATGCCGTTCTCACATTCATCTCGTCTTGTTTTCGCTGGAGAGTTTTGAATGTTATAATGGTTTTTCAAGTGGGAAATGTTAGGGAATTGAAGACAGGAATGTGGTGAAAGGTGAATTTCGATGTGGTTGGAAACAGTGCTGTACACTGCAGCTGGTGAAGTCGGCCAAGGAGTGCCAATTGAAAAAAGAAAATAATTTGAAATGAATTCAACAAGCAGTGTCATTGAGCCTGTAGAAATTGTCGAGGAGACAGAAATGATTGACAAACAACTTGGTATGTGTACTTTGTTTTTACTAGTGAAAACTAAAATCTGATAATTACATATAGTGTTTGATTTTAAATCTCAGTTTTTTGTGGTAAAGCCAAAGAATCGTCTTATTCACAGCAGTTGACTTGTAACGTTACCGCAAAAACTGCGAGTGGACTACATTGATTTGTATATACGGAAAATAAAAGTGGTTGAAAACATACATTTCTCGGTAAACTATTAATTGACACAATAGTCTATATAGTATGCCTTCAAGTATGAACAGACTTTCTCTTTGGGTGCTTAGCATGCGTTTTCATAAAATTGATCAATGACAATGAACGCGGTGGTAGAAAATTATTAAAATACATTTGCTTTCCATTTACACTTCTTGATTTTAGGCTTACGAATCTTTGCAATAATAAATATACGTGATGTTTTTCACAGAACAAAACTTATGTCACACTTATTGTTGTTTCAAAGTCGTATTGTTAACGCGAAAATAAAAAAGAGTTTGCATTTGTCAAATTCGGTAGCCATTTTTCACCGAGTTACGTATGTCATAGACATAGGCGATAGATAATGTAATCGATATAAATGCGACTATAGCAAATCTATTATAGCTAATCTATTATAGCCGATATAATCACTATATACATAACCGATCAATTCCGTTAAATCATTCAGCAAGCAAGTGACGAGTATTTGTCTCAACTGATAAACTGGATAGCACAACCTATCTGCCTTCACAAAAGGTCAAATATATACGAGCAAAATGTACATTATCTTTTCAAAACATCTTCAAACTTTATAAATACCATGTTCCTTACACATGGTTTCAATAATAAGACTTTCGTGATCTTCATTCTTTCACAAAAACCTGTTTGTTTGAGGCATTCTCTGATATTCTCTCACTTTAATTAAAAAACCAGGAACTAATGATGCTATTCTGTATTCTTGTTTCTATTATTACTAATTTCATTTTCTTGAACAATATCTGTACTTTTCTTCCCACCCTCGCATCATCCCAGCCAATGAGAGTGCTTCGTTGTGAACTCCCACTCTCGCAGTCAAAAACCTATTTGCATGGCTTATTATCTAAATCATCTGTTGCGTAGCAATCTTTGAATACGACTTCAAATTACTCTCCTCATTCGAGCGTTACTTCGTTTACATATTAGAAAACCAGAGAAGCAATTATTATTGTGTTCAAAGTTTTGCTTCATAACTAAGACTTGGCCGCAAAGATCGAACTCTTCAAAATGGTCTACATCTTCCTGTGACTATCTTTCACTCATATCACGATGCTTTCAACTTTGTAATATACTATGGATCATCGCAGAAGTTTTCTTTAAAAAACTATGATTTGGACATTAGCAATGCATGAGCGAGCATAATTGATTCAAGTGGACGATATCAAATCAGTGAAAATATTCAATCGATTGCTTGTCAGTTGGAATAAACTTTGTACTGGGATTTCTTGCAACTCTCTTCGACTTGGTTGTTTAAGAATGAAGCAAACATTGTGGATTTAAGACATTTCAATTTCGACTGAAATGACATCGACCATGCAGCCGACTGGAATTTCTATCGACGAAGATGATGATACAAAATGTAGGTGTATGTGTGCCAGGTGTTTCACAAACTTTCCTTCACAACTCAATGCTACTTGTACATAAATATTTTCTGTTGTGTTATCTATCTGACTAACTTTGGCGTTGCCATGCATTGACAATTAATAGGACCGATTGTAGCTCTGTGGGCACGCGGGTTATTATTGGGCAGGCAACATTCTTTACAAAATCAAAAGCTCTTCATTCAGTTTCATTTTTAGTGACTTTCCTTGCTCAGAACGACTACATCTACGAGAAGACATCGTGCTATATGTTTTCTGGCTTATTCTTCAACGTGGTGTGTTTAATGTCTATAAACGCTCCAACTACAATCAATCATTTACTTATTCAGATCGTGCTCAATTTATTTCGGTTTTAAAACTGATTTAAAATACTTCCATTAATGCATTTTTCATCATATATATATATCGTACTGACATTCTCAAACAATTTCAGCTAACAAACTCTTAAGCCAATCGCAATGGCACCGAAAACCTATATATTAATATAACGAGTCTTTTCAGAGCCATTTTAAAAAATGCCGTCATGTTTACACTGCGATTGTCAAAGTTATGTTTTGGCATGTTCCGTTTGTGTTTGTCTATAAAATAATACCTTGGTACATAGACCCTAATCCTTCAGACAATTCTTAATACTTCATTCAATGCTTTTATTTCGGCAGAGATTGATAAAATTAGAATTTAGTAAAGCCAAAGCACTGTCAAGTCATACGTCGCACTACACTGAATTTTATTTATGTACATATTCTCAAATGACGAACATGGTATAAGATTGTACCAATGTACATAAGTTAAACACTATAGCCATTTAAAACGACGAAAATCACTGCTCTAGATGGGTTTTCTTGTCCATAGACCATACATATAAACTCGAGCGTAAACTAATTCGTCTTGTAGCAACAATTAATGAATGCATATGATTCTTAAGTCGGGTTTTTTCCCGCACAGCAAGGAGTAGACTGAGTTATTGGTATAAGTTTTACGTAGATGCAAATTAACCATGCATGCCACGCTCATATATACTCATTGTTATCAAATAATTTTTTGTCTTACCCATTGCGAACTGATCTATTAGTTTTCACTGGATTGAATTATTTTCGTACACTGACAGTGTTATCGTAAAATATACCTATGGCCAACTGATCTATAAAGGTGCACACTGGATTTACTTCTAAGACTGCCGTGTCTCGTTGTCAAGACAACCCCAACAAATGCGAAGATATCTTTTGTAAATATTTATATCATTGATTAGATTTTTCTATTCTAAGATCACTTTCTATTATTTTCAAATAAATACACCCATGCATGCATGCCGGCCTTTTATGACTTTGAGAAATAGAACAAGGCGATATTCACAGTACTCAGTAGTAATTTTTTACATAGATAAATTCACATTTTTGAAGGATTTGTAAGAAATGTTTGAGGAAACTCAGTCATTGTTAAACACCAACAAACCTTTCTTACAAATCCTTCAAAACGTAGAATTTACCGATGCAAAATTCCTACTGTGGTCACAGAAACTTTGCCAGGGTAAAACCAGTCTTTAGAAATGTACACTTCCGACCAACGATTCAAAACATTTGTCCCCTAATCCACTCATTCGCATCCCGCCAGGAACAGAACATCACAGACAAAATCACTAGTATGAAATGTGAACGGAGGTTAAGTTGGTGTAATCTGATGATCTTGATATTGATTTGATATTTACGATCCTTAAGACTCAAGACTAAATGAACATCTTATGACCTTAAATTCTGCGCTGCCAAGCTTGCTTCGTCGTAGATCGTCAACTGCCCATTGACACTTTAAATAGATCATTCTAGGCTTTGCAGTAACAGCCAGAGCTTGAACTCATGAATAAATGTAAATAAGTTTAGTGTGGGCTGTTCGACAGCTGTATTGCTAAGTTTTGAATACGTTTGAGAAGCCGTGTTTGTCTTCATGAGAAGATTTCGTTTCATTCGAAGCATAAACGAATGTCCTGAATGGAAATAAAATGTGAGTTGTGTTTAATCTTTATGATCAATTTTAGATGTTTTAAAACTAACGAGGTTTCTTCTTCTTTCATTTCGACAAAACACAAACATGTTTAATAGCCTAGAAAGATGAAAAACTCGATTTACCCAGTGGCAGTGATCGCTTTTCATGTACATTCTAATATTTTTATTACATTTTAAGAGGATGGGTTTAGACCTTTCAACGTTTATGTAACTGTAATTATCCCCTGCCAAATTTCTCTGTATAAGAAAAAATTGAGGCAGGTCTTTTCGCGAATATATCAACGCTTTATACGTAGATTGCTGTGAAATTTGCATATCATTATAGGCAAAATTAAGGCCAACTTGTTGTATTCAAGTATGTATGATAGCAAGCATTCAGTGCTTAAAAAGTATCTTTAAAGTGTGGTACTTTTTGTTACAGGTCAGTTTCAACCAGAATTGTTTCAGTTTTGATTTAAAATATATGTTTTAAATCCACCTGCTTGGAAACATAGTCTGTGTTTGATCTATTTTCATGAAAAATTAATGACTATTTCATGCTTTTATTAACAATGGCGGACAAAGCAACATTTTAACTTTATATATACTACACTGATCTTCAACATGTAAGCAAGCGGAGTAAATCTTTCTTGAAGTTTGGAAGATGAAGGATCGTATTTTCAAAGAAGTATTCTGTTAATGTGTATGTTTCATTTGATTCATTTGAATATTTTGATTTGAAGTTCTGTGTTCAAATAATTAAGTTGTCGTGTGTTGTACTAAAAGGCTTATAGCTTTGTCTTTTCCGGTACATTCAAGAACGCAAGAATGTTTTTTTTATAGAATATAGAGCTTCGTGACATATAATCATTTATCTGCTATGATTTCGTTATTTTGGTAGTCGAACAGCTTGGTATTTCCCATTGATCTCGTCAATCTATAACTGTTTGTTTACAGTAGTTATTAATTCTACTCGTAAATAAATCTTCGTTTCTGAAATAGATTTCTAAAGACCTCCTTATATACGCTTAGATAATTAGGAATTATAAAGTCTTAATCCCCTGGGCTCATCTCTGAACATCTCGTATGTGGCAATTGCGATTGCGAAGAGCTCTAGAAACAGATACTATAATACGAACGGTCCGTGCAGGCGTAGGTAGTGAGAATAACACCAGAAAGTTGCGGATGGATAGGGATTCAACACCTGAAAAAAAAAACAAGGAAAGTTTGACGTTGCGAACCCTTCGTCGAAACGTCCTTCGTCGAAACGCCAAAATTTTCCTTGTATTTTTCAAGTACTTAAATCCCTCTGAATCCGCAGCATTCTGGCGATAATGTTTTTTATACTCGCCATTTTATATAAAATTGTTTGTACATATCTGTGTAATACGAGCATGTAATCTAAAATTATTTGCTTGAGTCCTGTTAAGTAGTATATCCCTTTACACCAGGAAAATGTTTGTTGTACTATTTACCGCAACTCACTCAAAGTGAAATTTATGCCCTATTCTGTTGCATTACAAGGGAGACGTTTCTTTTGAATTTGAAAAATTTTGATTTTGGTTATTTTGGTTTTGATCTATTCTCCCACTATAGTCTTACGCAAATATCCCGCCCATGCACTGCATGCAGTATAAAATGCGTCTTGCTGAGATTTAATCAAACGTAGTTATTAACATGACTGCGTGTCAACATCCATGAACACGATTGGATATGTTAGATTGTGTTTTGATTCCCCAACTAACTTCTCCTTTCGCTTTTAGTTCCTACACCGGCTATAATATTCCTGTGTGTAATTGCTGGAGTGATTATAATCTTATTTATCATCTACCAAGTGGTGAAACGTGGCTTAGTATGTAACCTAGAGCCCCCAGAGAGACCTGACGATGAGGAATACGAACATTTAAAATCAGTTCCTTATGAAACAGAGACAGACGATGATTATTATGGGCCAAGCTCGAAAACTCCCAGCCGCAGAAGCAGTTGCAATACAACAAGCGGGAGTCTAAGATCCGATGGGGATTTTGGTACCGGGGATTTTTACGGCCGGGGAAAGTACTCCGATGGTACAGATGGCATGGATTATTTCTCGTATAGTCCCGGCACTATGCGACGTATGATAGGCGGAGAAACAACCCCTCGAGGTTTAGACCCTAGGATACAACCTGCTGGTGAGGAGTTGGTCAGTATTGCTGGTCGGATGCAGATATCTGCGAGTTATGCCCCCACTGCGAATAAGTTAGCTGTAAGCATATTGAAAGCTGAAGATTTACCCACGAAAGAACGAGGTGGCCCCAGTATGGTTCAAGTGCGTGTTGTTCTTCTCCCTGCAAAGAAACAAAGATTTAAAACCAAACCTAAAGCTTCCAATAATGCTAGTTTCCATGAAACGTTTACATTTAGTCACGTGACGCAAGAAGAGATACGTTATGGCTCGCTCAGGATCCGCGTGTATGGTCACGAGAGAATCACGCGGGATCGTCTCGTGGGCGAGGTGAATATGCCGCTCTCGGAGTTTGATTTAGAAAGTGAATCTGACACCGTGTGGAGAATGATCATTCCGAGAAGCCAATTATCGGTAAGCATTCTAAGTTAGAAGCCAATTATCGGTAAGCATTCGGTAAGCATCCTCAACAAATATTCCATAATTTGTTACATTATTTTATTCTAATGCAGGGTGCAGATTCTCTCTACGATGTCTCAGACTCAATGAGCATTGGATCAGGTCACGGGGGTTCTACGTCATCACTAGTCGCAGTGCATGGTGGGACACCTGAGTTGCTGGTCGCACTGTGTTATCAATCTCTGACTGGGAGGTTGACAGTCGAAATTCTCAAAGCAAGCAATCTGCGCATGCCTGCCATGCAACGTGCTCCAGGTAAGTCACGTGATTATTACCACAGTGATATTGCTGACCTCACTGTTACCATAGAGATCATAACATACGTATCCATCGTTCAAAAGGATTGCTTTCTCAAATGATTGATCCATACAGTTTTAGAAGTACATACATTAAGATCGGTGCTTCATAGACCATTTGCAGAATAATTGAAGCCTCGCCAGAATCTGTAAACATTGCATAGAAAATAAAGAATGGATTTCAATCAAAATCAGTTAATCTGAAAATTAATTGTCTCCTCATTCATTAATTGACCTATTCCCTAATGAACAAAATTTTGATCTAGACAACGAAACTTCGGAATATTACTAATTTTGTGATGCTCTTTCAAGCTGTGGTGAAATTTTTGTCTAGACTTGTCTAGATCAAAATTTTGTTCATTAGGGAATAGGTCCATTCGATGTTTTCACTTTTAAATATGTTTTTTTTCCTTTGAGAAATGATTGTCGCCTTCCATACTGTAGCTACAGGGACTGAAATAGGACATTTTCTCAGCATGTGCATCAAACATCCAGCTGTTCTTATTCCGCGTTGAGTCAATTCGAAGGCGGCACATACCGGGTACACGCAGATATTACTTGTCGTGAGCTTTGTTTCGTAGAAATACTGTCTTAGAATTCTAGGAACGTCCTTCGGTATGAGAATTTAAGATTCGCAGTGATGTTTTTCAGAGAAGGTTTTAAAAGTCAATATCAATTAGCACTAATTTTGTTATGAAATAAAAGGTGAGTTTCTTTTGTTTTGATGTTTGTTACATATGTGTATCGAATTGAGTGAATTTTTCCTGCACTTAATACCCGGTGATATGTGCCTGCCTCGAATTGACTCGCGCGGAACACGGCCGTAACTGCGTTTCTCCCGCTTTAGACACTTACGTCAAGGTCGTGTTGATCTCTCCGATTGGTAAACCTGTTGCAAAGAGTAAGACGACGATACGACGAAGCATGACGGACCCTGAATACAATGAGAGTTTTGTCTTTCAAATGTCAGAACGTGATTTAGCCGAAGTAACTTTACAGTTTTCTGTCGTCGCCATATCCCGTGCACGCAAGAAGAAGGAGATTGTTGGTTGGTTTCATTTAGGAAAGAACAATAGCGGGCAAGAAGAGACTCTTCACTGGAATGAACTGCTACAGGCGAAAGAAAAAAGTGTCAGTCGATGGCATGTTTTGTTTGAGGATATCAAGGATGTTCGTTAGCTACAATATCTAATCCATATCATAGATAGTTCTATAATAGATGATATATAATCAATAATATCGGCATTCGATAATCGATATATATCATCAATAATATTGTGATATAATCTTGCCTCGCTGCCAGCTGCTGGATGCTTGGTTTCGAGTTTTGTTTTAAATGGTCAAGAATCAATATTTAAGAAAATTTGGAAACAGAGAGCATTTTCCCACAATTCATGATATATTATAGATGTGCAATGTAGTTTGGGTTACATTTGAGATAATTATCCATTCTTAAAATTTTGAGAGTTTCGCTATGTTAGTGCGCGTCATGACGTCACTCCATATTGGAGAGTCACGTGAATTATTTTTCCAAAGTCAAGTACAAAATGATTTGTCTCGTATGAAATGACAATAGTTTACAGTAGTAAGAACTGCACTCTAGGGTATAGATCATTAGTTTCTCACGGAAATACCATGACATACTTGTGGTATATATAATACTTCTAGTTTAAGAATTAAGTGTAATATGATGTCGAAAACAATTCTATAGATCACTATGTTAATTAAGTTGTTGTATATATTTTAATTCAAATACAACGTGAGTATGTAGGTTAATATTTAATCCAGTACAGTAGAAATTTTATAATGACAAAATCAAAAATATGTACATTATAATAGAATACTAGACAGTAAATACATCTCTCATGCAATCAAATTGTGTTCCATCGACTTTGCGTGTTTTGTGAAGATTTTCTGAATTGTATTTCTTCATTCTGAATTTCAATTTATCTGGCCTCCTCCCTAGGCAAAAACAGCAGAATTTATAAAGAAAAAGATGGGGGTAGCAGAGAATCATGAGGGATAATTGTGCAGTGAGAAAATAAAATCCCCAAATGAAGTATTGCGTAATTTTTCCGTTTTTGCCACTGAGTTGTCTGCGAAGGAGGCTACACCATGTCCATGTGCGTGCGTTTTGTTTTATTATTCTGACGGAGTAATGATATGGAATATTAAGCAGAGAAACCGACTCATTTTATTTTGAATTTGGCGACAAGGGCGAGACCAAAACTGCAAGTGAAGGTTTTCAGGTAGAGAACTGAGTCTAGAGTTAGACACAACGAGACCCCTCCACAGTTGTTCACCACAGTATATGCAGTCACATTGTGACCCTTTTCAGAATGCTAAAAATCAGTCAAAACAATGAGTGACTTCGATGGAATGGAGAACAGTGGGATTTTGAAGACAATGAAAAGACAATGGAACATTCTGATCTCTGGATGATGACTGGATGGCTTGTTATGCTAAATGTTATACAAAGCACCATTGATCTCTAAGAGGCAGAAATTTACTGCTCTCCTGGAAAAACGTCTACGCATTCACATTCTACTTATAATTTTCCATGCATGCATTCATGTCAACCTCTCTGCCCAGATTTCAACTTTTATTTCTTTTTTCCCTCTAGATACGTACGTCAAAGTGGCGATGTTCAATTCGATTGGTCAACAGTTATCAAAATGCAAGACTTCAATACGTCGAAATATGATTGACCCAGAATTCAATGAGACCTTCGTTTTCCAAATCATTGAATTTGAGCTGCCCAGTGTGAGCATCATGCTCTCTGTCATCAATATCAAGAAAATGCGAAGGAAGGAGATCATTGGTTGGTTCTCGATTGGACACGATAGTACTGGGGACGAGGAGGACGCTCATTGGCGGGCTGTGATGAATGCTCGCGGTCAGCCAATCAGAAGATGGCATATACTTAGTTCTGTTGATTTTTGAACAGGCGCTTTATAAATACCAGTTTTGTTTTTCTCGACGAAAACCATCACAACAGCAGCCATTATACACTTATCCACTATTATAAATTATTATAAATTATTATAAATTATTATAAATTAATTTATTTCAATGTAGCATCTTAGTTATTGTACTACAGTCAATAGAATCAGAAGGTTAGAAAACTTGATGCAGACGTAATAGACCTCATTATCTACGTTTTGTCTTGGTTTATGCAAGAAATGCTCGGTTCATCGTCACGTGTGTGTTGTATTTTCACTAGAGCAACTATAATAGCTATGTTTTCATTTAACCATTGTGTAATATCACGACTGGGTAATTAAACCAACACACTGCTATTGGTTGGTTGGGCGAAAGCACAATACACGCGTGACGATGAACCGACCATTTTCTGCATAAACCAAGAGAAAAACATAGATAATGAAGTCTAGCTATTATGTCTGCATCGAGTTCCCTAACCTCATTCAATTGACTATGGTTATTGTAATATTGAGGTGTGTTTATGAAAAATGTAGAAAATTATTAAAATTATTATTTAAATTAAATTATTATCTTGTACAGATGTAAACACATGACGTACTACTTTTTATTCTGTTTACTCCGCAAACTGTCAAATATTAAATAGATATCAATCACAATTCGATGACTTTGTCAGTTCTGTTGTGTTCGGACAAGTTGTTCCCACGAGTATTCCTAGAGATATTGGTGGGCCTATAACATTGTTGGCAATTTCAAAACACTGAATATCATAAGAAAATACTCCGAAAAATGAACGTCTTGTAGACGCAAGATATGAGGAGTAATTGGAAACAAGTGTACTGCTTTTTGTCTTGCTTGTCTCAGCAGTGAAATGATCAAGTACGTCCTTTTGAATTTCAATCAAACTTGACAGACAAGGAAATTATGCGCTCCGCTATGTTCACAAATGTATTTGAATTATTCATTTCTTTGTCTTCTTTATTAACAGTTTATTTTCAGGAAAAGTCGCTGTTATCATGAGTTGCAGTCCGGTTGGCAGAAATCTTGAATGTTTATGTTTAATTGATCATCCACCTGCTGACTCCATGCTGGAGAACTTTGCTACTTTGTAATGGTGTTTTACTACTTCTGACGAATCAACATTTTGTGGTGTTTATTCTCTTTGAAATATAAAGTTTTCTATCGTCAATAAAACAATCATCGTCTTTTAATGGTCGGAATCGAAGGATTATATCAATATAGTGAAGTTATAGCAGAATAATGGCAGGTATTACTATATTATTTCTTTTTCTTCTGTCAATTTACTGCCTCTATTGAGCACCTGTTAAATATAGTACAATAAGTTTATTCCATTCAAGACTCAGATACTAAAAAAATAAAGAATGATTTACAACTAAGAGTCGAGTCTGAATTTTGCAAGCTTCTAAAGACTGGTTTACACCATCGAAATTTCTGTGATCACAGTAGGAATTTTGCATGGGTAAATTCTAAATTTTGAAGGATTTGTAAGAAATATTTGAGGAAACTGACTCCCTGTTTAACACTGAATCAGTTCCCTCAATCCTTCAAAACATAGAATTTACCTTTACAAAATTCCTACTGTGATCACAGAAACTTTGATAGTGCAAACCAGGCGCCAAAGTCTTATTAACGTCCGGTTCTCCCGTTTGTCTTTGGTCGAGACACGATAGGTTCGTTGTTTCCATCAAATTTGTTTGAAGAATGGAAGTATTTTTGTAATGTTATTAATTTTTCCTAACATACAAACGACATAATTACATAACACACATACAGAATGCTGGGCAACTACAACAGACCGAATAAAGTGGACCCTCTGGAGTGTAATAATTCTCAGCTCACTACTAGTATATAGACTTGTCGTTAATGTAAAACATGTTAGATAAATATAAACATCACATAAGTCAAAGATGAAATGAGTTGCATTTTGTAAAAAACCACTACGTTTCTTCGTATATTTAATTTCATTTATAGCTATGCAAACCTGAACTAAACCTAAACTTAAACTAAAACACGAATTCTTCTATTTTAGTTCCAATTCCAGTAATAGCTGGCGTCGCTGCAGTGGTTTTAATAATAATTCTGTTGATAATCTTCAAGATTCTACGCAAGAGGAAGCAATCTGCTTCGGAAGAGGCTGGCAAAGGAGAATATCAAAAACTTGAAAGTGGCGAGCGTGGAAGCGAGGCTGGCCTTGAGGAAGGGAATGAAATAGTTGAAAATGAAAGCGGAGGAAAAGGGAAGAAGAAAAAGCGAAAGAAAGGTGGGAAATCGAAAGGAAAGAGTAAACGGAAAGAAAGCCGGGATTTAGAAAGTGAAGAGGGAGCAGGACTCAATGATTCTAGCGCTTTCACTGAGGACTTAGCAATTCCTTTGATAAGTAGACTTCAGTTTTCTATATCATACAGTCCTACAAGTAGACAAATACTACTAACTATCCATCGCGGAGAAAACCTTGACTCAGGTTCAGCAGCGAGTTTCGAAGTACGTGTGACACTCCTGCCGTCCAAACGGCAAAAACTCAAAACAAAATCTCAACCGTCTGGAAGTCCAGAATTTAATGAACTGCTAATGTTTAATGAAGTGTTTCCAGAGGATCTTGAACTGGCCACGTTACGTGCCAGGGTTTATAGACTCACTGGTCGACAGAGAAAGTTGATTGGGGAAGTAAGAGCAGACCTAAAGGCGGATTTAGGCCTGGACACTAGTTATGTTGATCAGCTTTGGCGGGAGTTGACGCCAGCTGCAGATATAGCGGTAAGATTATTGAATGACTTGTTGTTTGATTGACTAGCTTCATTATTCAAGAAGTTCACACTGAGTCTCATTTCTAGGATGATATCTCAGACACGCAGTTCGTGATAGATCCTGAAAGTGTTCTTGCTGCTCCTAAAGAGACCGTGCCAATGCTACTGATATCTCTTCAATATAAAACTGTCACTGGGAGACTTACTGTAGAGATTATCAAAGCAAGGCACATGAAAACACTGAATGTACAAAAAGCGCCAGGTATGGACGTTGTGGAATGATTATATGTTGAATATACACGCGTTAAAACGCACAAGTTGTAACAAACCTGCAGCAATGCTGTTCCAACAACTTGTTAACAGGATGTGTTGACAGTGCTTGTACCCTGCAGCTTGTTGACAAGTTGTCAACGGCTTGTTGGCAACTTGCTACAAGGTTGTTGAGCTCAACAGACTTGTTACAAGTTGTTCCAACAACTCGTTATTGTCCTGCAATTCAAGTTGTTAACAAATTGTGAGTGACAATCTTTTAGCAACTTGATAAAATAACAACATTTTTACAACTTGTTGACAAGCTTGCTACACTAGGTATAGTGCAGCTTGGGGGCCTATCACAATACATTGTTTTTCTTTTTCACTTATTAAAACATGTTTTATCATTTTACCAGAGGCGTTTGTTGAAGTCTCCCTGCTCAATGCTAATGGCGGTGAAATTTCGAATCAGAAGACAGGTGTTTGCAAGGGATCGTTTCATCCGGCGTTTGAAGAAACTTTCTACTTTCCTGCGATAGAATTTGATCTTACCGGCTTGACCTTGGTATTCTCTGTATATTGTAAGAAATTTCGTAAGAAAGAGCTGATTGGTTGGTTTGGTATTGGCCGTGAGAGCACTGGGGAGAAAGAACAGTTACATTGGGATGAAATGATTGACGCGCGCGGTGAGCCAATCAAAGGTTGGTATGTCTTGAGTCAAGAATAGCTCGAAAACTGGATTAAACCATAGACATAGTCAATAGAATAAGAAGGTCAGGGAACTCGACGCTTACACGATAAACCTCGTTATCTATGCTTTTGTCTTGTTTTATGCAAAAAATGATTGGTTCATCGTCACATGTGTATTGTTTTTTCACCCAACCAACTAATAACAGTGTGTTGATTTAATCACTCAGTCGTGATATTACACAATGGTTAAATGAAAACATAGCTATTGGTTGCTCTGGCAAAAATACAATACACGCGTGACGATAAACCGATCATTTCTTGCATAAGCCAAGAAAAAACATAGATAATGAAGTCTGTTATGTCTGCACCGAGTTCCTAACCTTATTCTATTGACTATGTTTATAATTATCATAAGCAATGCGTCATATGTTATTATTAGTCACGTCTGCAATTAACATGTCTAGTCTTTTATTGGGTAGTTATATACGGTTTACTTCATACTTTGAAAGTCGCCCAGTTAAAGCCAGCGTTATTTGGCTACCTAAACAAAACTGAAATTAATCGCGGTTAAATTGTTGTTATAGTGTATTATATAACCATTAAAACCATAGTGTATGGATTATTATACCTAAAATTCTAAATAATAAAAACCTAAATTTTGTAATGATTTGTAATTAAATTCTATTAAGATTAACATTTCTATAGCGCAAATTCCCATGTGGATATGATTAAATGCGCTTTACATCAAGTATTACGCTTTCCTAATTACATACTGACTGTACTTGGCCTGAGCCTACACGCATAAAAACGCTCAGGTTGTTGCAATACTGATGAAAACAGGATTGAACAATGTTTTGCTGCCCACATTGTTCATGGTTGTCAACAATCTTGAACAAGATTGTTACGCCCGATTCAGGCTCAACAATATTGTTCAATATTGTTGACAAGTGTGTTCAATCCTGTTGAGCAGAGGGCTCGGCGTTTTTTGTCGCGTAGACTATTTTATCTTTACAACAATTGTGATATTAGTTTCTTAATTAACTGTGTTTATCCTAACCCGCCCTGTCAACTTCCCTGTGAGAAGAAACCTGAGCACCCCGGAGAAAACCCACGACTTTCGTTGACTGACTCTTTTCACATGAGTCCGTAGCGAGAATCGAATCACGTTCTTATTTAACTCCTCATTAATTAACCTGCTGTGACACAACCCGGATTTGCAACATAGCTCTTAATCCATACAACAAAGGGCCGCTAAAATTTCTATCCTATGTGTATAATCCTGTCTGGTATTGTCCAAAGCTCTGTGCACACGTTATAGCCAATGTCAATAATATCTAATGATAAAATTAGCGATAAAAAAAGTTACGGCTTGGTATCATCTTGACATCATTTAAATTTTTTTTACCATGAATTATGCTTAAAGCTTTAAAGCCTGGTTCTCATTAATCGGCGATTTCTACGATCCATTGTCTGTGAGCTACTACGAAGAAGAAAATGCACAAAAGATTTCATGCATCAATGACCACCGACAATGGGCATCGCCGGTGTTTACGACAAATGAGAATCAGGCTTAAGTGATGAGAGTTGACAGTCACGTATTGCTACAGGGACATTTCAAGCTCTAGATTAACAAAATAAAGGTTTGATGAATGTTGCAACTATGTCAAGATACTGTATTGGGAAAGCGTGAAGAACGGCTAACCAACAAGATCGCTTGACTGCAAACTTTCATGCGCTGTCATCTTCGTTTCATCCTGATCATCCAGGGTTTCGTTTAGCAAGTTCGATTATTCATACAAGTTCAGCAATAATATTTAATCTCAAATATTGAACATTCAATGACGTCATTATATCACACGACAAATCGTATCTTCCAGAGCCTTCCCGAACTTGTTTCCGAAGTATTCTTGAAGGTACGAGCATTTTCCGAAGGTATACTTACTGTGATTGTTTCGTCTTAGGGCAAAGCCTGACATACTTTTGTTTCCTGAATCTTATTCATGCCCGGACTTGTTCTATTGTTGGATCTCAGTAAACGCCAAAGGGCTGGAGAAGGTGCTGAATCTAAAAAAATGTTCACACTTACTACAGGAGCGAGAAAATGAACAAATCTCTCGTTGATGAGAGTTGCATCTCTCTCAACGACTATCGTCAACTCTCATCGGTTTTAAACTGGTTCAAATTTTGACGAGAGTTTTCGCTACGCGCGCAGTAATATCCAGTCAACTCTCAAGCAACTCTCATGCAACTCTCAAGCAACTCTCATGCAACTCTCATGCAACTCTCAAGCAACTCTCAAGCAACTCTCGTGCAACTCTCATGCAACTCTCAAGCAACTCTCATGCAACTCTTGTTCTTGTTTGACCGGGACGTGAGAGAACTCTCGCTTCTCAACTCTTATCCTCGTTTGACCGTGGCTTTAGTGAAGATGTGAAACCTACCTATTTTTAGGTAAATTAGGTAAAATTATTAAATTAAGGATTTTTGAACATCAATGTATATACCCATATACCTTCTTACACTGTCGTCACCTTGTAATATACATGATGACTCTATGCAGAGTCCTAAATTGAACTGCTCAGTTGGTTCGATTCCTGGTAGAGGGTCGATAGTTGTCTATAAAATGTATCATTAAATTCACACTCGAGATTTCTATCTACAGAAAGCCTTCACCGCGTAACCCCGCTTCAACTCTATTTTATACAAATAAGTTTCAACTTAGTTCTATTTGTGTGCTTAACCGCATATTTCCCACCACTCGCCCACAAGAGATCAACTCAGTTAATATTTCATAACCAAACAACACACCAACGTCATAAAAGTAATGTGAAACTGTCGCACCTTCGCAAAATCTCTTTCATGTCTTGTGTACTTGTGTTTCATTCTAAAGTGTCATTTTACTGTTTCGCACTTCTGCGGAGATGCCAATCTGTGTTTTGTTTTAAGTTGGCGTTTATTACCAACGGCAGCGAATGAAAAAGGTTCCCAAACCGCGTGGAAATTCTTCAAACTTGAGCAGTTGAGGACTCTTTCAGTGGGCGTTTATACAATTTCTGCGTTTGTTTGTTGGCATTCTTACCAAGGGCAACAAGTGAAAACAGTCCCTAATGGAGTAATAACGTCATGGTTCTCAACTACAGATCTTATAAGACAGTATATCTCGTCGGCTGCAAAAGCAATGTTTCTTACAGTTCAAACATGACTAAAAAGTTAAAATTAATATATGTCGCAGTATCGCAATTCTAATAGAATACCGCACTATTGCAATTCAAAATTGCAAAACGGAAACCTTTTATCAAGTATACAAACTCGAGCGGAATGCTGTAATATAGCTTCGTGTGAAACGTCGGGATTTCAACAGTTGTGTTTTAAGAAATTATTTGTAAAGAAACGATTGAAAAAATCGAGGGAAAAGTCTATGCAAATCTGGAGAATTAAACATTTATTTTACAAATATATATAATCACTTCGGTCTGTTTCAAACGTCAATTAAACTTTTCATCAAATTCAAATAAGTTGAAACTTCACGTTCGGCATAGGATTAGCCTCCACCCGCAACTACCCGCCGCCGCGGGCTATATACATTCGTGATGCATGGTGTGTTAATTGCTTCATTAATTAAAACACATTATAGAGAAAAGGTGTTAATTAATATTGTACATTGCTATACGATTAGACACGCGAGTTTGTAGCAACTATTAATTATACACGCCTAACTTTAATTTTCTCACTCTTATATATAACACTCAACCAAAGTCAATCTTTAAAATGAAACCGCAAAAAGTAAAATAACTAAAAGATTAACCCAGATAAGATCATAAATAGACATGGTTAATCCTCGTAATCCGCGCTAAAAATATTCTTCCTGTTCTGAATAATATTTGTTCCAGATATTGTTGTTGTGGTGACAAGAATTGTGCTAGGAATACGCGGACATTGTCATTTCCGTACTGGAAGAAGTCTATTTACTGCAGAAAAACGAGATATGGCCGCCCTAATTCTGGCTTTGATCATGCTAGCTAAGTAAATATCTACGCTTTAGCTATATTTTGGCATTTTTTTCATTTTTGTTTAATTTAAATAATATAGTCTTGCTTTGCAGTATTAATATACCCAATAATGCAATATCATGACTATATTACCCTCTTATAATCATTGAATATCTAAAAAATATAGGAGGTCATTGCCAGTTACGTTCGCTACTATGCATCCACGTTCAAATTATTCTCAAGTCTAATTTGTTGAGGCGTCTGTTATTCAATGATGTTTTTCCAAAAGTCGACTTACTTGAGCTGAAAACATTGCACCATGGGAGAACTATGATTTGCCGCAGGAAATTGAGCACTTGTTCAACCACAAGAATTTACAAACTCTCGCATGCTGTCGAGTTCTCATGACTCTATATTGAAAGCTTTCGCAACCCACCCTGCGCAAGAATGCTGGATCATTCCTATAGCCTCAAGGCTCTGTCTTAAAGCATAATATATAGTTTTCCTTTACCACTGAATTTTTACCCCAAAAAGAAAATTTCACTTCATAAAGACTTGTCCTCGTTAGATATAGATGACGTGTACGGTACTATAGTTTCATTTTTCACAACTGCTCCTGGTTATAGGTCTGTAAATGTACAAAATTTACACTCGGAATTTCCGTCTACAAAACTCTTCAAACCCAAAAGACAAACTGTAGAAAATGTATAGAAAAGAGAGTTCTCAATATAATATATTGACCTACATGATTTCTAGGTGTCGACAAAACGCACGCGCTGAATGACGCAGGTAACACGCTCCTGGAATTTCATGTTTTTTCAATCAACAACATATCAGCACACAATACAAGATATCTAGGTGATCAAATTACTGCGGTTATAAAGAAGGAAACGTTGGTTTCATCGTATCAGTTCATGCCTCATTGCCCAGAGTCACTTAAAAATCAATACTAATCCTTAACGGAATGAATAAATTATAGTATGGCTGCTGATAAGGTGAGTGTGATCCTATGGTCTTTATTTAGTTGTAACTTAACCACAGCATGAGCAATATGCCTGCGAGCCTCCTCCTCTCAAACAGTACGGAGCAATTATGTTTAACGAAGAAACCAAAGTCAATGCTTCAACGAAGGACTTCAAGCGCTTTATGTATTTTTACTATGGCGAATGCTTACATTCGTTCAGTATTTAACAGAGATACTCTAATGGTACTATGTTATGCCTTCGTACTCTAATATAAACAATCGTTTACATTTGGTCAGCATAGCAATCACTGACCACTACGCTCTGTGATACTAACTTCAATATTTTGTTTGTGTCTAGTTAAAGAAACTCGAAGCCAGAGGTCGAGCAGCGTTTCTTCAAAAGGATATAAGTTCCGCGACGAGATATTTTATGCAAGCATTGGAAAAGAAAAACAGTCCTGAATATAGTAAATCTACACCGCCCAAACGAAAGCGTGACAAACCGCGGAGTAAATCGCTACACAGTCTGAACAACAACAATGAAGATGATCAAGTGTGGATCTTACAAAAGACAAACGATAAACGGTAAGTGGGTATTATCAACATTATACCACTCCATGACATGGTAAATGGGTAATATCACTCTATCAGTATAAAGCGAGTCATAATGTATCTCTCAGATGTGCGCAATGTATTCTTATAATACCCATAATATTTTTGGTTAAATGATTCACATTGTTGATGCCTATATTCGTATGTAAGCTGATACCATTTAAATATCAGCTATATTTAAAATATGCGGTAGAACTAAGAACTTCAGTAATATGTATAATTTTGCCATGGTAAAGTATATCTGACTAGCAAAACCTATACAGCTTGTGTAGGTGAAGTCCAAAATTGAATTCACTTGTACAGAAACATCTACAGAAGAATATTTTAGTACACGAGTCATGGGCAGATGATCTTTGAGGCGATTCATTGCACGGATTATTGTTGTCAATCTGCATTGTTTTTTCTGCACGTACACGAGTTAAATTCTCGCTGTGTCAGTCCGTGATGTCTGTAGGCTTGGCCGGAGGTACTCTTCTGCTCAAGATTTAGAGACATTTTTTTGAAGTAAAGCAACGTAATATATTAATTAGGCTCGAGTGGCGATTGAACAGTCTTGCCTTGAAAGACATCTGGTGTGAAATGATATTGAATTGCTTGAGCTTTATCGATTCAAATAAACAAAATCAAAGGGCTGAATAACAGGTTCTATTATTATTTTCTATTAAAATTTCTAAGGTGTACATGGAGAACAAGTGTATTAAAATGAACGCGTGGTTATGTAGCATTTATAGTGACTCTTTCAGCCTCTTTTCGCTTTGTTTCTATATTTATAAAACATGATATTGTGGTCTGAATTCTGAAACTATTTACATCCGCTGAGATTTGACCAGCATCTTAACGCTTACTGAAACATACCAACATGAGGAAAAGAGAAAATTAGAAAAATGAACATTCACTCCTGACAACTGGACATTTTCACATTGTGTATATAGCGTGTTTCTTGGCGTGTCGGTCACCATATCATTCGTAATTAAATATAATTAATTATATTGGGGAGATATTTACAGCTTATTATTATTTAAATATCTATTTTACCGCTAAGATTATCTGGATTATTGCTTGGATTATAGATTATTTTGCTTGGCCTTGGGGCTAAAATCGACTCGTATTTGAGATGCCTCAGACTTCAGCTCGCTTCATCAAGGAAAGATGATTTATTTAGTAATCTTGCATTCACCGTTTAGTTGATAACATAACTTTCCTGAAATGGTGGAATTTGGTTTTAGAAGCAATTTGCTAACTCAACTAAGCCAGATTAGCAAGCCAGATAGCGCGCATTTTATCTAGGATTACGTTATACTAGGAAATCCGGCTAGAGTGATAAAACGTCATTTATTGTTTCGTTGCATGTGACGGAGTAATTTTCCCTCAATGTTATTTGCCAAATTGTAAGTGTTTTTGCTAATTGCTCAATTCATGCTAATGACCGTATAGCTTATTAGAGCTCATTAAACCCGCTCACGATTTCCTGTATAAATGACTTATACACAGCGTTGTTTTTTGCCATAAAATTTTATCTGCAGAAATCAGAACTATGCATTGAGTTTGAGAAGTGACGGGCTAGCGAAATTGTATACGTGCTGAAACTCCTACGCGGGGCTCGAAAGCATTTTTATGTTACGTGAAGTTTTCCGCAAATGCCCACGCTTTTCTTTGGTATGTCAACATGTTTTTGTTGCTTCGTGTTGACATTAAAGGTTAAACGAGTACAATGGAATGACAAGCTAAAGTATAAGTCCTATATAGCACATTTTCATACATAAGTCAATAGCCTAGCCGAAGATTCAGTGTCTTTTTTTGTTAAAATAGGCTAATTGCAATGACGTTAGTTGCTTTGATATTGTAGCATGTTTTGAGTGAAATATCGTCATTTAAGAAGGTCATTACACTTTTTCAGAACTTGGTATTGGAAACTATTTTAATTTCATGAATAGCCCCTCGGTAATTTCAAGTTTTATGCCGAATTTCTGGCTGATTAAAGGCCGCAAAATGAGGAAACGTGGAAAAACTATTTAGAAATAGACGGTAATTTTTTTAATTGACTCTTGGCAAAATGCAAGTCCCTTGGTGTTTTAAGACGGCAAAATTGAAATTTGAAATTAATATCAAGAATGCAGTCATTATGCAGGTCAAATCATCGTCTCACCCTTAATTTAACATAGCAGGGGGTGAACCATCTTGGGAAGTGATATAGTGTGGAAGTATTTTGTCGATAGAAAATGATTGTGTGTTATACGATAAGACTAAGACAATTGACTCGTCGATCATTGTTAAACGAGTACTGTTAGACGTGATAACAAAAAGATTAAACGTGATCATTTTGCATCCAGAAATTTCGGGTTTGAATTTATTTTTGATTGTGATTTTTGTTGTTAATATTTCGTATAAAATGTTCTATGACAATGGAAAATTGCATTGAATTTGTAGTTGTGCCAATCTAGACGACTTGTAACGCAGACTATGAAGTAATCTTTCAATTTTGTCATTTTGTTGGAAGTGATGTCATGGAATTGAAATAACGGAACTTGAAACGTTCTCATCATGGGCGCTACTTTATAAACGTATCGAAACTCGATCAAAAATGTCGTTCTCACGGTTGGAAAAAAATCTTTTGACTTATAACTTACTTCAAGTGTCCAATTACGAAAACGATGAAAATTTGAATAATTACCTCCGCAAACGACTGCGTTAATAACTTCTTAACATGACCCTCATTCAATGCAAAGAAAGAATAAGTTTTATTGCATTTTGTTAATTATTAGTGCGGTAAGGATTCAACGTTAATGATTTAAGATGATTTAATTATTTTCCTGTTGTTGTTCTTTTTCCAAACACATTAAAATTTTCTTGGCATCATGTTATTTGCACTGATCAATTAAGACCAGGCTTTTGGATGGAACGTTTTGCCAAAAACTAAACATCGTGTTATCCACCAAACAAAACAATGGCTTAAATCTTTTTTTCTTAATATGATTTTGCAAATTTCCCAACTTCTAGTTTGAGCCCACAAGGGGTCAATGTTTCCTTTGCATGAAAGTTTAGCTTCATGTCTTTTTTTCTCGATTTAGAAATAAGAAAAATGAAAAAGAACATGGAAGAAAAAAGAAAGTAGAGGAAGAAAGCAGTGTTGAAATGTTAGATGGAATTATTTCTGACGCTGATACGGTAAGCTTTATATATATATATATATACAAACACAAAATACGGTAGCCTGCTCGCAGCCTGGAAAATTTCCCCCTTCAAAATTTCAGGCTGCGAGCAGGCTAAAGATATGTCTACATATATTTTACAGTTATAATGAACTCGATAGTATTTACGAAAGTGCACAATGTCAACGTCTTTTAAGACATTCCTTAAACAAGTACATACTTCAGGCGTAATAAATAATTATTCAGAATTTGAAAGCTTTGTTGTCACCCTACACCTTTTATGCGTTGCACAAAAAATGTTTTTGTGTCCAAAAATTTCCCGAATGTTCTGCAACTTTTTGTAACATAATTCATGTGTAATAGGAATTGATAATATTTCACCAGTAATTGACAATATTTCACCAGTATAACTCCACGGAAAATGCAATTTGTAGGGGGGAAGTTGAATTAACGGCAGCTGGTAATTCTACTCGAAAGCAAAACTCAAACATTTCTTTCACACAAAATTTTGAATAACTCTTTCAGAATGAATTTGAAGCAGTGCCAGTTTTCAATAATGTATTTTAATGTTGCCGCAAACGTCATTGCAATAAAGATTCTTTTTCTGTCGTAAGAGATTGCACTTGATGCCTTCATTAGTGTGTTTTTGTGTTTTGCATAAAAGACGTTCACTGAAAGACCACGATACTATCTGGTATTTCCAACTTAGGTTCAAAAGTCATTCGGGATGGTTCTAATCTCATTCATATTTTCTTGCAGGCGATCCAGAGGTTCCCAAGTTTTCCAATGGGATACCTCAGAAAGGCGTCAGCCTTAATTCTGCTCAACCAATGGGATGAAGCGAGACAAACTTATACAACTGGACTGGAACATTGTTCGGAGAGCAGTCTTTTAATGTGAGTTGCGTTGTGCTTTGTATGCAGTCTTTTCACCTGGACTACATGAAGTTTAAGATTGCATTAGTTGACACCGCTCCACTTATCTTTATAGATCAGCGTTATACAACCTGAACAAGACTCATAAAATAACGTCATGTGCTGCAAATCTGGACATGAAACAATTGTCAGATCTTCTCAATGATAATAGGTAAGGATTTCAAATTATTCATCCCTACTCTTTTAGACAGGTATATACTTTGCTACCTTGAGTGCCAGAATTTTTTCCACGCTCGCAAGAAAACTCGCGTGAAATAGCAACTGACTGGCTCGCTAGTAGGCTTTGTCATTATGCGGCATTTCTGCGAGCGTGGAACAACTCCAGGGTGATACCATGCCGCAGGAAATGGTCAACCGGCACTTATCAAAGTGAGAGAATAATGTTAGTCTCCTGTCCTTGTATCTAAATAGAATTGAGAGATATAGTTTAATATTTTCAAAGTGTTAACAAGCAACTGTTGCTTTCTAAAGCTTTCGCTCAATTTTTTGCTCAATTTCCTATCTTTGTTTCTTAGTTCTTCACCGACGATGCCACCCCCAACCGCAGTGACTGCAAGAAGAAATAAATTTCGTTTACAAGGGCAGAGAAGATTGACTAAGAAAATCTTCCCTCGAGCCGAAACAGACGCTTTCTCAATCCCTCAGATTAAAACGACTTCATTTCGGAGGACAAATTCTACATCAACAGTCACTCACTTATGAGAAGGAAGATGAAAGAGAATGTAGCTTCGTTGTCGAAGCAGAGGGCCCGAAGCCCGTTTTCCACGAAGTGACTTTGTTCGCGCGAACCGACGTTTCCCTTGTCGGCATCGCTGATCTCGTCAGCAAAAGGGATGGTGACAAAAAAGTCAATAAACTTCGCTCGAATAAATTTGCTTAGTGGAGAACTGGCTTTAGGGTACAGGCAAAAGTGTCCTGCAGCTTCTTGACAAGAACTTTGCAACGTATCTTGAGACAAGCCAAGAGCAAAATGCAGTTATTTTAACATGATGCAACAAGATTGTCTTTCGCAAATTGTTGACAAGTGAAGCTGACCATTGCAGAAGGAAGTTGTGAAACTGAAATGAGTGACGGAATACTTTTGTAAAGCTTTGTCATTCGTATATAAATTTGGCGAGTTTTATACGCTACTGTATATATGTAAATAATTTTATCATAAAAGAAAAAGTATTTATTATATTAAAAATAAAAATAAAAGTATAAATAAAAATATTCAAACTGATGTGATTTGGCGTTGGTGTAGCAAGGGTTAGTGAAAAGTTCTTGTAGGTCCATTAATATATGGGTATGACTAAAGGGAGAGTTACCAACCGGAGACTCTCTCGGAGAGTTATGATTTCGGCGAGTTATGTTCGAACCACGCCCAAACCACGCCCACTTTTCCCAATGACCACACCCAATTTCTTAACTCTCCCGACGTTTCCTTGAACTAACATGAGAGAGTTATGTTTGACGTAACTCTCTCTCGTTAACATTATGAAGATGTTAGAGAGTTATAATTTTTTATAACTCTCCGCGTTGCAATGAAGAGAGTTACGTCAGTTTTTTGAGAAAACCTTAGTAAAGCTTGTTTCTTGAGATTTTCATCTCATATTTTGGTATTTCAGTTTGTAGCGTGTCAATAGCGTGCGTCCAAACAGGGAACAACTTGACTCGGTCAAACAGTCATTAACTGTGGTCAAAACAATGAGATGCTACCCACAGAAGCATGATTTAACGTGCAAGAAAATTGAAAAAATTAAGAAAATTGAATCTTTCGCCAATTCAGGTTTTGGAAATACTTCCCAGATCAGCCAATAGGGCATTACATTGAAAAGGTTTTCTGGTTCTATCCAATACGAGAGCTGTATCTGAATCCAAGTGAGCACGTAATAATTTATTTACTCGTACTCGCTTCACCTTGGTCTGTAGTAAAGTACTACTAGTTTCTACTAACGTGAAATGTTGAAGCTGAAACTTGAGAAAAAAGTAAATTCACAATAATTTACTTTAATGTGGAAGTTTTTTTCAAAAAACTGACGGACATAACTCTCTTCATTGATAAAAAATGATAACTCTCACATCTTCATAATGTTAACGAGAGAGAGTTACGTCAAACATAACTCTCTCATGTTAGTTCAAGGAAACATCGGGAGAGTTAAGAAATTGGGTGTGGCCGTTGGGAAAAGTGGGTGTGGTTTGAACATAACTCTCCGAAATCATAACTCTCCGAGATAACTCCCCACTTCATAACTCTCCGTTTAGCCGGTCCCCTGTTTTTGAGGAACTTTCAGTCATCGTTTAGCCATAGGTTTAGCTTAGGGTTCAACGCGCATTCTAAAAAACTGGGCTTTTTTAGTAATTTTACAATTTTTTAAAGCTTCAAATTTGTACTTATTGGCGAATTTTCCTAACTTTGCACATTAACATCTGACCGACTATAATTCAAAACCAGAAAACCACCCTGTAGAAACGCGATAAAATGCTAAATAGATATGAAATTCTACGCGAAAGGAAGCACTTTATGCAATTACTTGAACCCTCGGTAAGGACTGGGTACTAGTTAGAATGTTTGGCGTTCAATACTTCAAGTAATGTTAATTATTGTGTTTGATGGCCATCTGAACAAATGACTGACTATTACAACGTGTCTATCAGAAAGAAAGATAAGCAAGTAAGTTGAATTGAGAGGAAATAGTTGTTTCTATACACACTTCATTGCTTGTTGCTCTGTTGTGTGCTGGTGTTTATATAATAGCGTCTTGTAACAGAATGTCTACTCTGTTCTGGTGATGTTAAAATTATATATTTAATTTGCCTAAAGGCTAAAGTGTTATATACCTGGATAATGATGTAGTTGGTTATTTTATATAGAAATCAGTTCATGATTGCTTTGTTTTTTCCATATCTATTTTGCGTAACTCTAATCTTTTGATGCTCCTATGCCCAACAAGAGCAAAAGGTCCCCCGCACGGGCTAAAGGGTCCCCTGCAGCCCTCACCCGCTGCTTGAGATCTGGACCCCTGAAATGGGACGTCAGATATCTAGTCTTTTGGAATATACGCTTTCAGTAATTGTTTCACAAATCTCTCCTGGGCCCAGGAGCCTCGTTCTCATGAATTGTGAGCAAATTGCATTTAGTCTTGATTCATGAGATTAAAGCTCTCACTTCCGGAAGTATTCAACTATTTGTGGTGTAATTATTGAAATTTTTATGATTTCATCAATTCTCATTGATCTATGAGCTTTGCAACATTCAAATAATAAAACTATTTCATAAAAGTATGTGATGTTGCATTCCAATTGAAAATAAGTCTTCAAAGATTACTATCAGGTAACATGTTTTGCACCAAGACATGCACATATTCAGTCGAGAACAAGGTTGCATTTTATCCTGCCTAACTCAAGATGAGTTTATTTGCTCAAGTGACAAGCTCAGGTGCACTTTTGATATCTAATGGTTCACCAAGTCTGTGGTTGAAAAATCCACTGGTGAAAAAACCCTTTGAGTTGCAGCACTCTCCCCTTGAGTGGTAAAATCATCTGGCATTAGACAGAGTAAAATAATAAAGTAGAGCACATTGCCACTTAAAGGATTAACAGGATGTATGGGCAGATTAACAGTCTGATTAACCATTAAGTAGCAGCACTGTCCCCTTGAAGAATAAAATTTAAAAATTGTCTGGTTTAGACAGAGTAAAATAATATAGTGGGGTGCATCTGGGCACATTGCCACAAGTGTTGTTAATATAATATTAAGTTCTTTGTAGGTTTGCATGGCAGGGCTTGAAATAACAGCTGATCAACGATCCTTATGATCGGCAAGAAATTGCTTATGATCAGCAAGAAATTGCTTATGATCGGCGGAAAAGCAGGGTTTCTAACCTGAAAAAGCAGGGAAAGTCATGACTGCCGATCACCATGATCGGGAAGTCTGGGAACGTTATTTCAAGCCCTGGCATGGCAATAAAACATATAATTAATAATACTATTGTTTGTGGAAACACCACATAAATTTATTACTGCAAAACTTTCGACCCATAAGACCGGATCTTCATCAGTGCTAATTAGATCCCGGCTTACAGATCGAAAGCTTTGCAGTAATAAATTTACGTAGTGTTTCCACAGACAATAGTATTATAATATAATATTGTTGACTATCTACAGGCTTTAAAGACTGAGTTTGGTGTGCACAAAAGACAAGATAAAACTCTCACATCACAGACTACAACTTGGTTGAAATAGTTGCAACCAAATGCAAACCAGGCTTCATTTAAAAACCTTGTGTTTATTAAAACAAAATCCAAATTACACCAAAAGACTTTCTCCATGAATGAACATAACATGATTTTTATTATTTTATACTAAATTTACATTACCAGTTAAATTTATTTTACTTGTATAAATATTAACACAACAAAGTCTATTTTTTTGCATATTTTTACACAATGTTCTTACACAATCCTTCATTGGACAATGTTTGTGACACATATTGTCTGTAATTATGACATTCCAGATGGTTGAGTGGTTTCCAGCGATGAATCAAACTGACTTTTGTTTTTCAATAAATAACTTGCAAGATATTCAATTGGATTTGGAGGCCTGTGAAGAAAGGAATAAAGCAAGATATTTATAATATTAGCCAGATGGAATAGTTCATTCCAGAAAAAAAACATCCATACCTCCCCCATGGAGGAAATAGAAGTAACAACCCCCCACCCTCTTTGGATGTCCTAATACATTTACTGTTATCAGTTTTTCTCTCCTCCCCCTCCAACAGTAAAAATTTCCTCAGTGGGGGGGGGGGGAGTGTGAATTGTTTCTGGAACAACCCAACACCAACACTGAAGGGCTACAACACTGTCCATGTCAGAAAGGATTTTGTACAGAAAATAACTGGACAACTGTCCATATTAGAGAGGTGTACATATGGAGAAGTTTGGCTATTATTTCAAGTATTGCTTGGTCATGTATAGAAAGTCTTGTCCAGCAGTACAGAACCTTTCTTTAGATAAAGTTGACAAAGCTTGAAGAAGGATGGGAACAACAGTCTGGTCCAAATAAGCTCTTGTGGGAAGTGACTGCACATCAATTTTTGGCACTCGTTTCTCTGCATCATCTTTCTCTTTCTTCACCACAGCCTGAAAAAACAAGTCAAGAAATATGTCCATGAAACCATAGCATGATCTCACGAATAAGGTTTCAGTTACTGTCATTGCCAGCCACAACCTTGCTCCAATATCTTGACACAAATACCTACCTCAATTGATGGTGTTACTCCTGGCTGGGACACTTGGTTTGCAGTTGTTGTCTGTCAGTGAAAACAATATATTGTGTAACTGTAACTAACATAATTAACAAAAGTAGCGAGGAGGGAGTAGTGAGGAATAAAGGGGTGATAGAGTAGGACTGAAACTAGGTATGAACAAGAATGCATCAAGGACCATCATGACTACTCAACAATTTAAATATTCAGGGGGTTGTCAAGTTTTACCCATATTCCCCAAAGGGGGGGGGTGAAACTTTAATGCCAAAACTTTATTCAAACTGCTGTCAAATGGTGATTGCTAGATAGTATACTTCAAAATAAGGTTTCCGTTTTTATAACGTAGAAAAAACTATCCTAACGCAAAACTAAACCCTAACCCTAATACTAAACCTAACCCCCAACCTAACCCTAACTTATTTTAAAAATAGAATAAAAACGGAAATCTTATTTTGAAGTATACTATCTAGCAATTGCCGCTGTCTGCCAAATCATTCATCAGTTTTGAAAACTTACTGTCTTATGTCTGTCTATCGCTACCCCCATTAAATGTGATTAAATTTACCCATAATTTAAATAGGTATTTAGTCATTTAGACCAAATGTTATTCAATTTTATGTGTAATTTTGTGAACTACACATGTAATTGGATATAAAAAATTACAGCAGACTAACAAAACCACGGCATACAAATCTACCTCTGTAATAAATGCTTTGTTTTTATCAGTCTCTGTATTGGCGGCAGTGCTGCCGTCCCCTGCTGCTGTTTCGGCCTGTTTTTCTTGCGTTTTTTCCTCTGAAACTGCCGTCGCGTCGGTCATTTCGGCTGAAAGGTTATCAAATAACATATTCTAGGTTTTAAAACTGTCAAAATATTTAAGATGCGAGAGATAAAGGGCATTTCCTACCGTCTGTTGGGACTAAATTGTCTGCCATCTTTGTTTCCACGGTGCTTCACTTCGGAAGTGAACGGAAATAACCGGAAACGCGGGAACCACTGATCTCAAAATAGAATTTTAATAGCACTGGATAGATCTTTCTGAATTTTGAAGACTTTGAAGAATATTTATATTTAGGCGTTTAAATTAGTTTTACACTACTACCAAGCAAATGTCTACCTAATTTGAAATATGTACGAGTTTTTAACAAGTTTTATTCCAAGTGTTGTGACATCATTAGTTATTTACAGGCAAAATAATGAAGAGAAGGAATGAGAACCAATTTTTATCTATACAATATATTATCACCAAAATTCTGGTGACAACCACAAACTTTGAAAATCTCCTCAGTACGTGCCAAAAATTATGCAAAAATGAAAATGCATATTACACGAATACACGTCACAGTACTATCCAGTGGTACATGAGATCAGTGCAAGTGCTGGAGCTACGGCATATTCCGACTGGTTCCGATTCTTACAAATCGAAAATTTTGAGAATTGTGTATTTTGTAATAATGTATATTGCTCTATAATCAATATTTCTTTCATAAATATTGGTCTTTTTATTCACTTTATTGTTTTATATTGTTGTTTGAATACAGAATTCGACATCTGACAGCAATATGTTGGAAGAGGACAAGGTAAATATGATTTAATTGATTATATAATTTAATATGTTATTGACTTCTAAATTGTTGAGAATGTACAATGCCTAGATTGTTACAACTTCCGTGTTAACAGTTTTGAAAGCCTTCTAAGAATCTGTTAATGCTAAAAGTTGTTTAAAATGGCAATATAATATTTCAGAGTTTTCATATGAAGTAGATTTATGTCCATATCACATGATTCGATCCAGATTTTTGGATAAATATTTCCTTTTTTGCTTCATTGTGAACCAATAATGAGATCAATTCAATGTGTCAGTTGTAAAATTCTTGATATGGTACAAGCTGATAAAAGAAATTGAGGAAACTTGACAAGACTCTCCCAAGTAAAATTGTGTGATGTCAGAGAGAGTAATATAAATAAAGTAGGATTGTCCATTTGCTTGTCATAGCACATACCTATGCAGCTAGAACAATGAATGTGTGGTCACTGCTCAACAACTGGACTCTGTAGCCCAGTTGGTTAGAATGTTGCCCTGGAATTGCAGTGTGATTTCTGCCATAGAGCCTGTAGTTACATTTGTCACAACTGCTGCCATGCCAGGCTGCAAAGTTTGGAAATTGTGCGCCTGAGATTTCTAAAATTTAATAGTAAATATATAGAAAGCTGTGCAGAAAATGCAGTCTGGCTGCCATGTCTAAAAGTGTATAGAAATATAACATACTTGACAAGTGACTATTTGGTCTGATTTGACGTGACAGGGTGCTGCTATAGTCAGTGGTGCCCGGTAAGATGCCTACTTCACAATTTAGGTCTTTGTTGCAAGAAACTTAAACATTGCCAGAATTCTAATTTCCTTGTGTTGTCCTAGAAGGAAGAGCGAACAACATCTGTGGACTTATCAACTGATTCCTCGTTAGTCATCGATATTTCAGATGCACTTAGCGAGAAGGATAAAGTCAAATTTACTGTTCACACAAAGGTATGAGAACTTTTTACTCAAAATCCTTTCCACAGGTGACTAGCTCAGGTTGAGTTGAGGGCATGTGTACTGGGGTGCTACCAAATATATCACCGTTTCTTCTGTTGTAAAATGATGATGTCACAGAGACCCGAGGAAGATTTTGCTCTGGGTTCCATGAAATCTTTTGAATGGCTCGGCATGAATCTATCCATATGACAACCAGACATTTTTGTATTTCTTATTAATTCTAGACAACTCTACCAGACTTTAAAAGCAGTGATTTCTCAGTCGTCCGTGGTCATGAAGAATTCGTCTGGCTTCATGACCGATATGAAGAGAATGAGGAGTATGCTGGAATAATTGTATGTCTGTTTTACTGTGTTAGATGTTTTAGTGATCAGGACAGGATTTTTCAATCAGCATCTAAAATTAATTTTAGTAATTATACATCATTGTTTGGCTTTTGATAACTAGCCTATATTTCATTTGTTGGTCAAAATATCTAGCTCAAAATTAGTGTGGCCTACAATTTCTGAAAATAATTGAAAAATGTTGTAATGTGCACCCTGTTTTTGTTCTGTTGTACCTCCTATGGAAAGTAAGTTGTGATTCTTTTTATTGCAGATCCCCCCTGCACCACCAAGGCCTGATTTTGATGCATCAAGGGAGAAACTTCAAAGATTAGGAGATGGTGAGTACATTTTTTACAGTGAAAATACAAAAGCTTTCCCACTTCCAGAAGGTTGTAAAGTGTTTACATTCACTGTAATTTGTTCTGTATTACAGTAGCAGTTACCGATTAATTTATAGATAAATACTGTGATAAAATTGAAATTTACAGTGAAAATACAAAAAGTGTCCCACTTCCGCTTCTGTAGTTTGTTGTGATTTACTGTAATTTGTTCTGTTTTTCTGTAGCGATTACCGATTTATTGGCAAATACCGTGATAAAACTTAGTTTTCTCTACTTTTTAAATATGATAATTTGTAGCAAAGGGAAATAATCCATTTTTCGTTAGTTTCATTGCATAAAAGGTACGAAATTTAAATTTTATCGCAGTATTTGCCGATAAATCGGTAATCGCTACAGAAAAACAGAACAAATTACAGTAAATCACAACAAATTACAGGAGCAGAAGTGGGACACTTTTTGTATTTTCACTGTAACATCTTATATATGTGTTACAATGCAGTGAGTCTAACAAAAAATGCAACCTTTGCAACAAATTATTATACAAAAACAAAGAAAACTGCATCTTGCATGTTGCTGTATTTGCTCATAATTTAGTAACTGCTACTGAAAAACAGAACAATTTACAGAAAATGACTGTGGAATTAGTGGGAACATTCTTGTATTTCACTATAAAATAAGTAACAAATGTCTAATCTGTGATTTTTTTAGGTGAAGGAACAATGACAAAAGAAGAATTTTCAAAAATGAAAGCTGAGCTGGAAGCGTAAGTCATCTTCATATTTGTCATCACAATAAAATTGAATAAATGTTGTACCATGACGTCTAAAAAGTCTCAATTGGTGGGATTTAGTTAGTAGTGTGGGGCACTAGATCAACTTGCATTTATAAGAATTTATAAGAACAAATACATCTCAATTCTATTTGTTTGTTTAATTCAAATGGAAGACTACTACATCAGGGTTCTCCTTATCAGGCGGTAACCGGTAAAATTTACCGTTTCCACGAGCACTGATTACCGCCTGGAGAAGCCCAAGTTAAATATACGTTTGTGTACATTTGTTAAGAAATAATTAGTAATAAGGTGTGAGAAAATTCTTAATATAATAACTACAGTGAAACACGCAATTTTATTGGTCAATAGTTGTGCAGGATCAGGCTATCCTGCACGAGGAAATATAATGCCTTCGCGGGATTTTCAAAATGTCATAGTTTCACTGCAGTTATTTTATAAAACAATTACCAAATGGTTTTCCAAGCAGGATAGCGTGATCCATGCACTTGGGATGTTGCTCGACTTTTGGAAAAGTGTGAAAATACACTCGCCTGCAGCTCGAATATTTTACGCTTTCCGAAAGTCTCGCGACATCCCTCGTGCATGGATCACGCAATCCTGCACGGAAAACCATTCGGTATTCCTTTAATAATCAATCAATAAGTATTGCTGAAATTCCACAATATTAATTATTTAGCATCGATAGATTGAATACAGAAATATCCTATAAACCCGATCTGTGAACAAAATTTTTTGGCGGAATGATTATATTATCAACCCAGCGTGGGCTTGGGGACTGAGTTATTAAATTGGCGTGTGTTTAGAAATCTTTAGTATTCTATAAAAGTTTAAATCTTCCCTCAAAATGCAGGAAATGGTATACCCTGTTGGTATACCCCAGACCCCCTAGAGGTTTGTATAGGTGCGACTTGATGCTTATACCTGTTGAAAAACCTGTTTTACCTGTCCCACTCACAACTATGGAGAACCCTGCTACATATGATAATTTTTCTCACTCTGTTAACTGTCAGACTGTCAGTTTGTACCATCTGCTGCATGATCAATGCTTAGCATCTGTTCGTAATATCCTAGTTTCTAATTTCTTCCACTAGAGAGTATTTAGCAACGTTTAAGAAGACAGTTGCCATGCATGAAGTGTTCCTGTGCAGACTGGCGGCTCACCCAAAACTTAGGAAAGATGAAAACTTTAAAGTGTTTTTGGAATACAAACAGGAGGTAAAAAAGCAAATTAAAGTTCACAATATAGACATATTTTGTAGAGATGAGGTGGAAGACGCCTTTAGTTTTACGTTAAGCTGTTAACATGGCCAGCTTGCATACCAAATTGAGCCATTAAAGATGGCAAACTTTTGAAAGTTCATTCTATGAACTTTAAACATGGTCTACTGCAAATTGAATGCAACTTAATGTTGCAAAATGTAAGGAACTGGTTATTTACTTTGGGCATGAATTTTACCCCAACTCATGCACATTTTCTGGAAGCAACTGGAAACAGTTCAGCATGCTAGAATTCTTGGCTTAATATCAGACGTCCTTAAGTGGAACGAATATATTTTATAATCCAGCCTACATGTTCAAAACTTCCTGTCCGTCTGCCTTGTACCCAGGCGTCTCTTTGTAGTAAAACAGCGATGCGCATATGACAAGTTTACATGAAGTACAGTATTGTAGTGGCGAGAGAAGGCCGAAGGGTCCCTTCCCAACACTGCCTAAATACTTCATGTATTATAATTATTTTAAAGCGCCTGGGTACGAGGCAGCCTGTTCGTGATATAATTTCCTTTCACTGTGTAGCTGTTTCTGACCCCTCCGACCCGTTCATCATGGTGTCACTGCATATTAATCTGACAGTATTGAAAGAGAAGCGAATTCTAATTCTAATTTGCCAAAGTCAGGACTACGACCTAAGTCTGGAGTATATAATTGACAATGCTCATACTATCTTAGCTTAGGTTTCTCAATGATTGTAAAGTTGCTGATGCAATTAATTTGTATTTTTTTAAATAAACTATCAAACGACTATCAAACTGTACTTTGTGGCAATTATTAAAACCATTTGCAGCAATCCTGACCAAATTGCATGACATATTTACAGGCTCCTCCATTTACTGTTTGGAGTACTCCTGATTTTCGGAACGTTCACAGAATCGAACTGAGGCACTGTCACGTGAGTGTTCTGATTGCCCTACTCAACTTCTACTCAACTTCTACTCAACTTCTACTCAACTTCTACTCAACTTCTACTCAACTTCTACTCAACTTCTACTCAAAAGTAGGAGCAGTCAAAACAGTCATCTGACCGTTTTCAGTTTGGTTCTATTAGTGCTTCGAGTCCGGAATACTCCGAACAGTAAATAGGGCAGCCTGGTAGTTAATTGAATTCTATTTAGTTAAGTGTGAGAGGAAAAAACAAGAAGGAGAAACTTGGAGGTTTTCTCAAAGGTTTTGCCAAAGGAGTGGATGAAGTTTTACTTTCAAGTCAAAAGGTAAATTACAAAAAATTGTAGGTCCTTGTGATTCAGTTTCTGAAATGTTGTAATTATTGTATGTTCTAGGATGCTGATGATTTCTTTGAGGGAGAGAAGAAGTTTCTGGTGGAGTATCATAGCAAGTATGTTTGATAAAAATTGGATGCAAACTTCTAGGCTGAGATTACACTCGAGATTTTCATCTACAATTTTCATCTACTGTTAGTTGTAGCGAGATGCCCAAAATTCTCGGTGTTGAACACTTTATATCCTCTTAATTTAGACTCCGAGAAGCGACGAAGCAGTCGGACAGAATGACGCGATCACACAAGGGAGTTGCAGATTGTTACATCAAGATATCAACCTGTATCACGGCTTTAGCAACGAGTGAAGCGACAGATTTTGAAAAGTAAGTTTTAGAACTTATTTGTATCATATGTTAGGGGTATTATCAATCAATTGTACAATGCCCCTTCTCTACTTACATTCTAATTCAATAACTGTCTTTATTTTTCAGATTTTTTAACAAAGTTAGCGACATTTTTGAAAAAGTTCGGGTAGGTAATAACAGGTGTCAAGCCCCGCTCAAACGATAGTTGATGAAAGTTTGCATGAGAGTTTTCTCAACTTTCATGCCTCGGTCAAACGAGAACAAGAGTTGCATGAGAGTTGAGAAGCGAGAGTTTGCATGAGAGTTTTCTCAACTTTCATGCCCCGGTCAAACGAGAACAAGAGTTGCATGAGAGTTGAGAAGCGAGAGTTTGCATGAGAGTTTCCTCAACTCTCATGCCCTGGTCAAATGAGATGAAGAGTTGACGAGTGTTGACTGGATATTTTCGCGCACGTAGCGAAAATTCTCGTCAACTCCCATCAAAGTTTGAACCAGTTCAAAGTTGATGAGACTGCATGAGAATTGATGAAAGTTCGCGGTGAAAACTAGCGAGAGTTACAACTCTCGTCCATTCTCATCCTCGTTTGACTGAGGCTTTACTGAAACGTCCATGCGTTGTAAAACAATAATTGTTGAATATTTCAGAAATTGGAAGGTCGTGTGGCGTCCGATGAAGATCTCAAGTTATCAGATCTGCTGCGTTACTACATGCGAGATACTGATGCTGCCAAGGCACTTCTGTACAGGAGAGCAAAATGTTTGTCAGAGTTTGATAACGCCAATAAAGCGTTGGACAAAGCTAGAGCGAAGAATAAAGACATTCCCGGTGTAAGTGATGGTGATTACTATGAAGTTGTGTCGTAGCTTTGTGATGTGATGGTGATGATGATGGTGATGATAGTCGTTATGATGGTGGTGATGATGATGGTGGTGATGATAGACGTTATGATGATGGTGATGATGATGGTGGTGGTGATGGTGATGACAGTCGTTATGATGATGATGATGATGATGATGATGATAGTCGTTATGATGGTGATGATGATGGTGGTGATGATGGTGATGATGATGATGGTGATGATGGTGGTGATGATGATGGTGATGATGATGATGATGATAGTCGTTATGATGGTGGTGATGATGATGATGATGATGATAGTCGTTATGATGGTGATGATGATGGTGATGATGATGGTGATGATGATGGTGATGATGATGATG